TATATACATACATTTATCTATTATTACGAGTTATATTTTAGTAATAAAAATAAAATATTTACGAATATACGATTTTTTAAGGGGAAAGAGAATCTTGTCTTACCTTTAGTCATATTGGGTGCCGTCTCGGTTATTGGTGGTCTGTCCGGATTGCGGTTACCAGAAACATTGCACCATCGTCTGCCGCAAACCATTGAAGAAGGAGAATTGTTTGGCAAGGATTGGACGTGCGCGGATTGCATCCGTTGCATCCCGACAAAGTACATGTTGGCGATAGATTATTAATTATGCAATTTTATGAATTTCGTAGAACACTATAATGCTATTTTGATTTATTCTTAAAAAAAAAAGTCTAATTTCTAATTTATTAAGAATATTAATAAAATTAAAATATATAATAAATAAAATAAATATTATTTTGTATATAAAAATTAAACTTAAAATTACATCTTAATAATGTACTATTATTTTTTTTATATCTAAAATGATTCTTGTATTTTTGTATCTATTTGGTTATACTTAACTTTATTAAAATATATGTTCTCCAGACCATCGTCGATTGCAACTTCTTACGAAGACTTGTCGACGCGAGAAACAGTAGAGATGCACGAAGTACCTGAAGTGCCGTTTGCCTCGTCTATTTTGGAGGAACAACAACGGCCGAGTACGGCGAATGTTCGCCGTTTAGTACGCCAATCCAGCGTGATGGATACCCAACGCGATTCCGATGGAACCATGAAGATGACCTATTGGTTTTAGCTTTGAACGCTTCGAATCTAGTCAAAAAAAAATCTGAAAGAATCTTTTTCTCTTTCTTATCACATTTATGAATTAAATGTTTTTCAATGCTAACTAAAAAATTATTTCATATTTTCTCTTATATGTTATTGATTTATAAAATCATTAAATTATATAACTCTAATATATAATATAAGTACATATACATAAAGAAATAATTCTATTTTAAATAAATGTCATTTTAGTAAAAATATTGCACTTGACAAAAAAATTATATCGCTATTTGTGCTGCCCTAATCAATATGTCTCTTTTTTAATATTGTGAATATGATGAAATCAAAATAACATAAAAAATACAAATCTGCAATAGCATATATGGTATTTAGGTATATGCAAGTGTCAGATCATCACAGAAGAAAATACAATAAGAGACGATCATAATCACGTATTGAACATATATCAACGTATTTCTTCTCAAATTACGCATAGCTACATAGCACATAAAATTTTTTAGAGATAGATAATTAATATAAATAAAAGAGAAATAGGACAAGAGAACGTCACGATCAATGTGTCGTGTCCACGATGCAGTTTATTCACATTCGGTATACAAAACACGAAGATAACGAGAAAGATGAGAATGAGGAGTTTAACCTCGAATGCCTTCTTTTTTGTGCAGGGATCGGGATAAGATCTTGCCGTCGCGTTTTTTGGTATGTTTCTCCCTCCCAAGCCAATTCATAGGCGAGTGGTTCTGTTGTAGCAGCTGAAAGCAGGAGAGTCACTATATGCGAATGCAATACTCTTCACGTATGTACTTTCGGGTGCGAGTCGATTTACCTCTCCAGTAGTCGCCGCTTCAGCTCAGGCGGATACGAGACGTAGATATAATGATCGGGCATGTCCTCGCTCGACAGGGGTAAATTCTCGTCCCCGTGATCGCCCTTCCGTCTTTCCAATCTGCCTTCGCCTTGAATACTCGAGTCATGCAACGGGGAAGTACTCGAGCGATCTGTGCTCCCGTTGTAATCTATGCTTCCGGTACCATCCAGTCTGTCTTCGTCCGCGGTACTACAATGAGAAAGTACAAAAGAATCAGTTTTCTTTATTATAATAAAATAAGTGAGTGAAATATACATGGAGTGTTCTAATGATAAGACTATAGTTAACATGATTATTTTTATTCTCAGTTATTTAAAAGTTTCCACAACAAAAAAAGCATTAATTCTTTTCCATTCGAGAATTATTACATATCTAAAGCATTTTTTACGTAGCCTTTTTAATCACTTATTTAATATTTATTGTACAACAATAATGTGGATGAGGTATTGTATATAAAATGACATAACATTGTGTACAGTATTACTTCAAAAAAATCCGCGCGTTTAATATGTTATATACATTTTATTAAGTACGATATTAGCTATTGCTAGTCCAATTTTTTTACTCGATATAAACCAGATATTTCTTATCTTTCGCATAGAATAACTTAAAACTCGTGTCACAATTTCTCTTAACGATGCAAGGTGATTTTTCTTTTAGAAGCGATATAGCGAAACTTTCTGACGAAAGAAATAACAAGGTATTTTATTTTCGGCACGACGTACTTGAAGCAGACCCAAATGACATAGTAACACGCGTAGATAGACGAGAACAGGACCAACATGAAAATGGTCAGCAGATACCAGGGTGTGTGACGTTGCGGCCTCTTCGTGTCCTCCCAGTATTTGTCACAACTGAGATACCAGCATATCGCACGATTCAGTTCCCCTATTGACATAAACCATGACCGATAAGAAAATATCAACGGCCGTATCAGTCGTATATCTGTATGTATAATCAATTGTTTACCTTCGATCTCCTGGAAATCCCGCACAGAAAGATTAGCGAGTAATCCAGCGATGCAATCACGCACGAGTATCTGTTGATAATTACGTGATAAATGCGTCATTACTTGCGAAAGTATTAATATATATATATATTATACGTGATCAAAGATTACATATATTATTCCTAAATCATAATTTTTAATGTCGACTTGAGTGCAACTAAATTATTTAATTTTCAATATTATAAACGAATATCACAATAAGAGATATCAACAGTCAAGAGAAAATGTGCGAATTTTTATTAGCGCCAGGTCATTATATTTTTGATAAAAAATGACACTATACATATTTTTAATAAAATAACCAGTTATATAATATACTCACTTCGCACTGGGTCTTCAATTTTTGCAGCTCCTCCGGCTTGCAATGGGATTTGATCTTCCTCAGATGCAGCCCTCGTCGTTTCTGTTTCTTGTCGACGGCAGGTAGTGCCGCCTCCACCAGATCTTCCTCATCCTCCGCGTCCTCCTCGTCGTCCTCGTCCTCATCCTCCTCTTCGTCGCAACCGTTGCTCTTGTTATCCGACCCGGCGATCTCGTTATGATAGGACGATCTCACTAATCTATGATTGTGCATGTCGCCACCGTCATCGCGATGACAGTAACGTTGCAGATTTGTCATTGCACCACCGCCAGCGATGGTGCAGGACTTGCCCGCAGGATACATTTTGGCGAGGCCACGCGACTCGCATGGCACGATAGAAACGCCACGCTGCTTTTGCTGTTGTTCGGTATTTTCGCGCCACACTTGGATATCGGTATTCAGGTGGCTGCCGTCGTCGTCCACCGAGTTCTCGAAATCGCGGTTACCCAACACATCGCAGCGCATGATATCGCAATAGTCCGCCAGGCATACCGCATCTTCCGCCTGAAAAAAACGTGCCTGATCTTACATATACATTCGCTCTGGATTCGAAAATATTTCTGATCAAAATTTTTGACTCATTAATAATTGAAGATTTACTTTGCCAAGATGAAGACTACGAAAAATTTAAAAGAAGAGCCCAAAACTTTACCAAGAAAAATTATAAACTTGTGTACTTTCTAGAAATTAGATCATCAATCTTTTTTTATATGATAAATAATGGTTGTTTTTACATTTTTTTTTTAACCCTTACCGTATTAACATTGCTTTTGTGTCTGTTATCGAAATGGACGTCCAAGTGTTTCTCGGCATAGAAGGATTTGCCGCAGAGGCCGCAAGTCCATTGCGAGGGCCTGTGTTGATGCTTTGCCTTTTGTTGCGGTCGAAAGATATCTCGACTTTCGTGAAACGGACATTCCAGGGGCAATTCTACCTGATACTTCTTCAGTATTGGCATCCATCTCTGAAATCTCAACAGAGCTCAGAAAATTGCATCATCGTCTCGTCTTTCTTTATTATTTTTCTACTTAAATAATCGGTTTTAATTTTCAGAAAATATACAGAAGCTGATATCTTGATATATATAAAAAATAATATTATATTT